GGAAACAAAGTAGTGGTCGGAGACATGGAGGGGAGTTGCAGTGAGATTAGTAGAGGAGCAGCATCTAGTGAAGATGAGGTCAAGCGTATTGCCTGCCTTGTGAGTAGGGGGGGACGGTGAGAGGGTGAGGTCAAAAGAGGAGAGGAGTGGAAAGAAGGAGGCAGAGAGAAATGAGTCAAATGTGGACATAGGGAGGTTGAAATCCCCCAAAACTGTGAGGGGTGAGCCATCCTCAGGAAAGGAACTTATCAAGGCGTCAAGCTCATTGATGAACTCTCCAAGGGAACCTGGAGGGCGATAGATGACAAGGATATTAAGCTTAAATGGGCTAGTGACTGTGACAGCATGGAATTCAAATGAGGAGATAGACAGATGGGTTAGGGGAAAAATTGAGAATGTCCACTTGGGAGAGATGAGGATTCCTGTACCACCACCCCTCTGACCAGATGCTCTCGGGGTATGCGAGAACACATGGTCAGACGAGGAGAGAGCAGTAGGAGTAGCAGTGTTTTCAGTGGTGATCCATGTTTCCGTCAGCGCCAGGAAGTCGAGGGACTGGAGGTTGGCATAGGCTGGGATGAAGTCAGCTTTGTTGGCAGCAGAACGGCAGTTCCAGAGGCTGCCTGCGACCTGGAACTCAAGGTGTGTGGTGCGTGCAGGGACCACCAGGTTAGAGAGGCAGCAGCCACGCGGTGTGGTGCGTTTGTGTAGCCTGTGCAGAGAGGAGAGAACAGGGATAGGCAGAGGCATAGTTGACAGGCTGTAGCAAATGGCTACAAAAATGCAGAGGAGATCGGAATGAAATGAGCTAAGCATCTGGGAGAGGAGAGAGCAGGGCCTCCCTCACCAAAAACTTCTACCTCAGAAACTAAAATTGTTTCACTGAACCACCCGAACAAAAAACTCTCCCAACTTCCACCTTTAGAAATCAGAATTGTTGTGAACCACAGCGGTTCAATGTTTAAAGGAATAGACTCAACCCACTTTATTCAGCTAGCTAACTATGACACCATAGCTAACTAGCATGCTAGCATCCAATAACAATAACACACAGTTTAGCACCAACACTTGGTCACAACAAACCACCAATAGTGTGTTAACTAGCTAACTAGCATGCTAGCATCCAGTAACAAACAGTTTAGCACCAACACTTGGTCACAACAAACCACCAATAGTGTGATAACACACTAAACAGATCATTCGTGTCTGTGTCAAGTTCCTTTCATGACGCAGCAATGATTAAACGTTGGCTAGCTAGGACAAGTATATTGTATTTAGCTACTACAGTACAGTTAGCTGGTCGTGTTGGGTAGCTAGCAATGGCCACTGTGTTGACTTTGTTTGAAGAACGGCTAGCTAGCTAGCTTCGTGCTACACCCGGCACACAATGGCTACTGTGTTGACTCTGACTCTGTTCGAAAAACGGCTAGTTAGCTCGCTTCGTGCTACAGCCGGCACGGCCGAAGACACTGCCAACCTACAGTAACTACCCACAACAACCCACGATGCCTAGCTATGACGCCATAGCTAACTAGCATGCTAGCATCCATTAACACACAGTTTAGCAACAATGCTTGGTTACAACAAACTGCCAAGAGTGTGTTAGCACACTAAACAGATAATTCATGTCCGTGTCTAGTTCCTTTCATAACGCATAACGCAGCAAAAATTAAACGTTGGCTAGCAGCACATTAACATTGGAAACAGCTCTCCACCGTTGCTAAACGTTACCAGTAGCTACCCGCTAGCTAGCTAGCCTCGTGCTTCGATACTAACCTACAATTACCTACGGAAACCTACAATAACAACAATACTAACCTACAATAACTACAATACCTAACTACAACTAACTACCTACCTACGATCTAATACATGGTTAAGCTTTACTCAACACCATATGAGAAGCTTACCTCCAAGCTTACCATCATACCAAAGGTCAAGCATGGTGGTGGTGGTGTGATGGTTTGGGGATGCTTTGCTGCCTCAGGACCTGGACGACTTGCCTTAATAGGAAGGAACCATGAATTCTGCTTTGTATCAGAGAATTCTACAGGAGAATGTCAGACCATCCGTCTGTGAGCTGAAGCTGAAGCGCAGCTGGGTCATGCAGCAAGACAATGATCCAAAACACACAATCAAGTCTACATGAAAATTGCTAAAAAGCAACAAATTGGAAGTTTTGGAATGGCCTAGTCAAAGTCCAGACCTAATCCCAATTGAGATGTTATGGCAGGACTTGAAACGAGCAGTTCATGCTTGAAAACCCACACGTCACTGAGTTAAAGCAGTTCTGCATGGAAGAGTGGGCCAAAATTCCTCCACAGCGACGTGAGAGACTGATCAACAACTACAGGAAGCATTTGGTTGCAGTCATTGCAGCTAAAGGTGTGTCACGATCGTTTACGAACGAGAAGGACCAAGGCGCAGCGTGATATGCGTTCAAACACACGACAAACTCTCGCTCATCTCCTCCCAAGTCCATCCTCTCTCCTCGTCACGCTGCTTGATCCAGGATTGGTGGGATCTTCTGTCACGATCGTTTACGAACGAGAAGGACCAAGGCGCAGCGTGATATGCGTTCATATTTATTTACGGCTAAACACACGACAAAATAACAAACGAAACGTGAAGTCCAAGGTAGCATACAAACAACATACCTTACACGGAACAAGATCCCACAACTAACAGGTGCCAAAAGGCTGCCTAAGTATTGCCCCCAATCAGAGACAACGAGCTACAGCTGCCTCTGATTGGGAACCACCCCGGCCAACATAGATCTGCACATGCTAGATCTAAAACATAGAAATCAACATAGCAACACACAACACGGAAAATACACACCCTGACTCAACAAATACAAGTCCTCAGAGTCAGGGCGTGACAGTACCCCCCCCCCCCAAAGGTGCGGACTCCGACCGCGCCACATAAACATAACAGGGTAGGGGCCGGGTGGGCATTCCGCCTCGGAGGCGGATCCGGCTCCGGGTGTGACCACCACTTACTCTCCACCTCCCCGTTGCGCCCCTGGTCTAGTCTGGACCTCGGCGCGCTGCTTCCCCTCTCCTTCCTCCCACGAAGTACCCAGCCCTGTCTGGACCCTGGTGTGGGAGACCCCGAACCTGGAGAGGGGCTGACGTCTGGATCTGGACTGGAACCGCTGACTGGAGCTGGACCCGACGACGGTGGATCGAACTGCTCTGGCTCCGGAGTGGAGCCGCTGACCGGAGCTGGATCAGGCACCGGTGGAGCGGACTGCTCTGGCTCCGGAGTGGAGCCGCTGACCGGAGCTGGACTGGACCCCGGTGGAGCGGATTGCTCTGGCTCCGGAGTGGAGCAGCTGACCGGTGCCGGACCAAGCACCGGTGGAACAGGCACGGGCCGTACCGGACTGGACACACGCACCACTGGCTTGGTGCGGGGAGCAGGAACGGGCCGGACCTGGCTGATGACGCGCACCACTGGCTTGGTGCGAGGGGCAGGAACAGGCCGGGCCGGGCTGGCGACGCGCACCACTGGCTTGGTGCGAGGGACAGGAACAGGCCGGACCGGGCTGACGACGCGCACCACTAGCTTGGTGCGGGGAACAGGCACGGGCCGTGCCGGACTGGAGACGTGCACCATTTGCTTGGTGCGGGGAGCAGGAACAGGCCGGAACGGGCTGGCGGCGCGCACCACTGGCTTGATGCGAGGGACAGGAACGGGCCGAACCGTACTGGGAACACGCATCACTGACTTAGTGTGGGAAGCAGGAACGGGCCGGACCGGACTGGCGACACGCACCACTTGATTGGTGCGAGGAGCGGGACTGGGTTCCTTCATTAACCCCCGCTCCTTCTGCTGCCTAACCAGCTCCTCTCGCCGTGCCTCTACACTTTCCTTCTGCTCCCTCTGAACCAATGACCCCCCTAATCTGGTGGCCTCCTCTGCTAAACAGCGGAACCGCTCTATCGCGGCCTCCCGCTGCCTCGTCGTCCACGGCGTGAGCCCCCCCCCTAAAAATTTTTGGGGCTTGTCTCTCCCCCGTGATCATGGCCTCCATCCCTCTTGCCAGACTCTCGCTTATCTCCTCCCAAGTCCATCCTCTCTCCTCGTCACGCTGCTTGATCCAGGATTGGTGGGATCTTCTGTCACGATCGTTTACGAACGAGAAGGACCAAGGCGCAGCGTGATATGCGTTCATATTTATTTACGGCTAAACACTCGACAAAACAACAAACGAAACGTGAAGTCCAAGGTAGCATACAAACAACATACCTTACACGGAACAAGATCCCACAACTAACAGGTGCCAAAAGGCTGCCTAAGTATTGCCCCCAATCAGAGACAACGAGCTACAGCTGCCTCTGATTGGGAACCACCCCGGCCAACATAGATCTGCACATGCTAGATCTAAAACATAGAAATCAACATAGCAACACACAACACGGAAAATACACACCCTGACTCAACAAATACAAGTCCTCAGAGTCAGGGCGTGACAAGGTGGCACAACCAGTTATTGCGTGTAAGGGGGCAATTACTTTTTCACACAGGGGAATTGGGTGTTGCATAACTTTGTTTATGAAATAAATGAAATAAATATGTAATTGTTGTGTTATTTGTTTACTTATATTCCCTTTATCTAATATTCGGTTTTGGTTGAAGATCTGATAACATTCAGTATCACAAATATGAAAAAGTAGAGAAAATTAGAAAGGGGGCAAATACTTTTTCATAGCACTGTAGCTAACGCCCAACTTTGAACAGTAAGACTGGGTTGTGTTTAGGCTACGACATGTCATGGTTTTCGACTTTCTCAAACGTTAGATGCCATCGATGTCCTTTGCTAGGTATGGCGTTACTGACTTTGACAAGAAGGCCATGAAAGAGTGAGTGTGTGTGGTTTGGGCCTGTATGGCAGTTGTCAGTGATCTGAGTGTATCTTTCAGAGATCAGCATTACCCCACTCCTTTCCTCTGGTCCTGCAAGTGAGTGTGTGTCCCAGAGGAGCCAGTTGAACCATGGGCCGGATCTTCTTGGACCACATCGGGGGCACACGCCTCTTCGCCTGCGCCAACTGTGACACCATCCTGACAAACCGCTCCGAACGCATTTCGACCCGCTTCACCGGAGCCACCGACCGAGCCTTCCTCTTCAACAAGTCACCCCGCCATGACACCAGCCTGCTACCACTGCCAGAAACATGTTTTCATGTTGGTGTTTTCACCCCTGGAGTGAAATAGTCCAATGAAAACGCCTTTTATCCTCAACACTCAAACACTCAAACTAATAACTTTTATGCCAGGCTCACTATGCTTAGCTATGTATAACACACAAGTGTAATAACCTCTGCATTATTATTCATGATCTGTTAGGCGGTGAACCTGCAGTACAGCGAGGTACAAGACTGCGTGATGCTGACGGGCAGACACATGGTGCGAGACGTCAGCTGTAAGAACTGCAACAGCTAGCTGGGCTGGATCTATGAGTTTGCCACAGAGGACAGCCAGCGCTACAAGGAGGGCCGCGTCATCCTGGAGAGGCCACTGGTCAGGGAGAGCGAGGGCTTCGAAGAGCACGTCCCCTCTGACAACTCCTGAGCTGATGCTCGAAATACTCGGTCACGCCCCTGCCCTAACCCTGTTCCCCCAAACTCCACAGCCTCAAACTCAGCATCCCAGACAATATCGTCTCGGCTCCACCCTCACCTTTGACCTAGCTATGACTTTTTGACCTCTCCTGATTGGCTGGATCTCTTGATGCTGTGTTGGCCTCTCCTAAACCCCTCCTCCAAAGACCACCTCCTGTCACCTAGAGACTTCGACAGGGGCCCGCTTTCACATAGCTATGGACTCCATGCACACATGCACACAGGATTTTGAACACAACTACACACACTGCAAGACACACACTCATATTTACACATGAGACGCTCAAAACCATGATTAATAGGGTCGGGACGATACCAGTATCTCTGTTGACATGCTGGGCTGGCCTTCACATGAACTGTTGCTGTTCTTCTCCAGCCAATTGGAATGAAGGGAGCGGTGTTTTCAGTCACACTGTATCCTCTGTTTCCAACCCCTGCCCAGGACAATGTGCAATAGATCGACTTGACACATTATCAAATCATTATTTCATTAGTAGAGATGTTTTGATTTTATTAATAGTTATCATTGTATTTTGTATTTTTATTCTTAGTAGTTATTATTATTCAGATGTTTTTCTTGATATGAGGTTAAAAAAGAAAAAGCAAGATTATCTCTTTTTCCCCATTAGTCTTCTTTTGCAATGTTTCCTCTGTAGTGATGATTTCTGAATAAAGTGTGTAGTTTTGCTGAAAGTAATGTTTCCAATTGTTGTTTGGTGCAATTTGAGATTTAGATCACTAGATGGCAACAGAATACAAATTACATACTGTGTGCTGTGCTGTAACTATGGTAATCCTATGGACAGTCAGCACTTTCAACATTATGGCCAAATTTAAAGGCGAGTCGAGACACTGATCTACAAATCCCCTTGCATCATAAATAACTACTCAATAGTATTTGTAGGTCAGTCACAATTTACCCATGTTACCTCAAATCAAATTGTATTTGTCACATGCGCCGAATAAAACAGGTGTAGACCTTACAGTGAAATGCTTACTTACAAGCCCTTAACCAACAATGCAGTTTTAAGAAAAAGAAGTGTTAAAAATAAAAAATAAAAACAAATAATTAAAGAGCAGCAGTAAAATAACAGTAGTGAGGCTATATACAGGGGGTACCAGTACAGAGTCATTGTGCGGGGGCACAGGTTAGTCGAGGTAATTGAGGTAATATGTACATGTAGGTAGAGGTAAAGTGACTATGCATAGATAATAAACAGAGAGCAGCAGCAGCGTAAAAGAGAGAGGTGGTGGGTGGGGGGGAACAATACAAATAGTCCGGGTAGCCATTTGATTAGCTGTTCAGGAATCTTATAGCTTGGGGGTAGAAGCTGTTAAGCCTTTTGGACCTAGACTTGCCACTCCGGTACCGCTTGCCGTGCGGTAGCAGAGAGAACAGTCTATGACTAGGCTGGCGTCTTTGACAATTTTTAGGGCCTTCCTCTGACACTAGTATATAGGTCCTGGATGGCAGGAAGCTTGGCCCCAGTGATGTACTGGGCCATACGCACTACCCTCTGTAGTGCCTTGCAGTCGGAGGCCGAGCAGCTGCCATACCAGGCAGTGATGCAACCAGTCAGGATTTTTATGCTCTCGAACACGGCCAATGTCTTATCAATAGTTTTGTGTAGACTAAAAATAACAGCAAAGGTGGAAGGTTAATCACACTGTTAGTGCATAGCCTACACAGGAGTCACACACTTCTCGCCACTTTCACCTGTTTCAACCTCTGTTACGTCTAAAGAATGTATTTTACAAATTCTTTAGATATACATTTGTTTTACTCATGTACAGCACACTTTAAAATACAGGGAATATGCTCTCCATTAGGGGACAGTGGGAATTAACACACAAAATAGAATACAATACAATACCAACTCTCACAACAAACTGATAGTGGAGAATGTCAATGTGGTTACAGAGGAGTGGAAAGTGTGAGAGAATGGGGACCCTCGTCAACCCAGATAAGGAGACAAACAGGCACAGCTGTGCGTGAACAGACCAAGCACCCACAAACACTTCTGTGACTCAACACAGGCCACAAAATGTCCCCACTATAAAGGGGTTTGGTGGTGTGTAAACTTGGTTTATTAAAAGGCAGTGACAAAGCATTCCACCCATACATACAGTTGAAGTCGGAAGTTTACATACACCTTAGCCAAATACATTTAAACTCAGTTTTTCACAATTCCTGACATTTAATCCTAGTAAAAATTCCCTGTCTTAGGTTTGTTAGGACCACCACTTTATTTTAAGAATGTGAAATGTCAAAATTATAGTAGAGAGAATGATTTATTTCAGCTTTTAATTCTTTCATCACATTCCCAGTGGGTCAGAAGTTTACATGCACTCAATTAGTATTTGGTAGCATTGCCTTTAAATTGTTTAACTTGGGTCAAACGTTTCGGGTAGCCTTCCACAAGCTCATGATGCCATCTATTTTGTGAAGTGCACCAGTCCCTCCTGCAGCAAAGCACCCCCACTGCATGATGCTGCCACCCCCGTGCTTCACGGTTGGGATGGTGTTCTTCGGCTTGCAAGCAACCCCCTTTTTCCTCCAAACAAAACGATGGTCATTATGGCCAAACAGTTCTATTTTTGTTTAATCACACCAGAGGACATTTCTCCAAAAAGTACGATCTTTGTCCCCATGTGCAGTTGCAAACCGTAGTCTGGCTTTTTTATGGCGGTTTTGGAGCAGTGGCTTCTTCCTTGCTGAGCGGCCTTTCAGGTTATGTCGATATAGGACTTGTTTTAACACGTCTCCTTCCTGAGCTGTATGACAGCTGCGTGGTCCCATGGTGTTTATACTTGCGTACTATTGTTTGTACAGATGAACGTGGTACCTTCAGGCATTTGGAAATTGCTCCCAAGGATGAACCAGACTTGTGGAGGTCTACAATTTTTTTTCTGAGGTCTTGGCTGATTTCTTTTTATTTTCCCATGATGTCAAGCAAAGAGGCACTGAGTTTGAAGGTAGGCCTTGAAATACATCCACAGATACGCCTCAAATTGACTCAAATGATGTCAATTAGCCTATCAGAAGCTTCTGAAGCCATGACATCATTTTCTGGAATTTTTCCAAGCTGTTTAAAGGCACAGTCAACTTAGTGTATGTAAACTTCTGACCCACTGGAATTGTGATACAGTGAATTATAAGTGAAATAATCTGTCTGTAAACAATTGTTGGAAAAATTACTTGTGTCATGCACAAAGTAGATGTCCTAACCGACTTGCCAAAACTATCGTTTTTTTAACAAGACATTTGTGGAGTGGTTGGAAAACAAGTTTTAATGACTCCAACCTAAGTGTATGTAAACTAACGACTTAAACTGTATTAGAGCTAAGCATGGGGGTTATTTTTAGAGTTGATCCTGTTGGAAGCCATCTTTGTCTGTGGGTGTCATGGATGGTAGAATCAGCAAGGGTCTGGAATCACTCAAGGAAGGAACAGAGTGCTACCCAACACTTACCAGGCAGGCTCTCACAAATCCTGATTAACTGCACAGGTTCGGTAGGATAGAATGGGTGGTCCATTTTGTTAGAACTAGGTGGGGTTGGTGTACAGTAGTGTACTCGTAAGGTACTGTATCTCAGGTGATTGAACTGAAGAGGATGAGGGTCAGGAGATTAAAGGATCAACATGGTCACACCTGCCCTAAGCCATAGTTAGATCTCTTTTAGCAAACTTGGCCATCGAAGTCATCTTAGGTTAATTACACTTCCCTGCTCATCCTATTAATCTGCACACAATAGGATAGAAGTTAATACACTGGGAACTGTGTATGTTGGGAAGCGCCATTCATGTATAGGTCACAGCATTATACTTCTTGCATAACCCTTCCTATGTAGTCTGTATGCTTTTATGCAGCTCTTAAGAAAGCTACGCTATACGGAGCCCCTGATTTCATGTTCCTCCAGGGATGAAAAGGAATAGGACCATGTCCACAGAATGATGGAAGCTGTATGCATCATCCTTTCACCCACTGTCATATCTGTCATAGTGAGTGTGGACTTTAATTTGGCCAAAGCACAGATGATAAAAGGAACAGGTAAGGACAAAACTGACAGAATAATTCGACCCATATCCATAATTGCCCTGTGATTAATAGTCCCTGTATCAACCTGGTGTCTATACCTGCATTTTTCAAAAGATGTCAGCATCTTTACAAGCATTTCGCTTCACCCGCAATAACATCTGCTAAATATGTGTATGTGACCAATACAATTTGATCACTCCCTCCCTCTCAACATCCAGCATTAATGAACTGGGATTTAAAATCAGAGCAGAGACTCATGCTTGCAGACAAAGCTCATAGACCCAACAGCTGTGCACACACACACGGCATCATTCTGTTAGCAGCAGAGAAAATAATAGCGTACTTTCCATTGACATCATTCTGCATCACGTTGCTAGGGAACAGTGGAGTTATCATTAGTTGCCATGGCAACAACGCTTCACCTTCAAATCTCTTGCCCTCCGTTTGTCGGCGCCGCAGCAGACTGCTGTGGTGTGTGTATTTATATATACGTCTATGGTGTGAGCTCACTATGGCTCGGTGTTGTGTAACATGAGCGTGCAGAGTCTTGTTGATTCATTCACTGCAATGTTAAGTAGGACCGCTCCAGGAGTCCACAACTACAAGATTCTAATGGTAGTGCAGCTTGGCAAAATTAGAACAATTTCTTACGCACATTTTAAAAAGTTGTTAGGTTGAATATTTGGACCACAAATAGTGGTAATGTTGGGTCAGCATCCAGAAAACAAATCAGTGAAGCATTAATTTTACATTACACATTTCTTAGAGGCACAGAGCAGGGCATCTGCATGGGTTGAAATGTTATATTTATTGAACAGCGTGATAACTGATAACAGTGGCCAGTAAAGCTTTACCTGAGGACAGTGATTGTAAAGGAGTCCAGCATCAGCAGTTGATTCTATTATGGAACAAAACAGAGCGAAAACAACAGAAAGAGAATTTTGAGCAACCAAGAAAGAGAAAAAGGGAAACAAACACAACAGATGAGAAAGAGAGAGAGATGGAAAGAGATGGGAGAAATGTGGAAATTCTAGCTGGTTCAGAGATTCTAGTAATAGAGAGAGGATTAGTAATTTGGTAAATCACTGACATGCTGATGAGAATTGTTAACACAGTAATCACAGTAACCAGCCCCTACACTTGAACAGGGCCTCGTATTTCAAGAAACAAAAAGAGACAACCATCTATGACTTGGTACATAGGACTGTTTCTTTCTACTTACAAAAATGATCATTTGACCTGCAGCATTGAGGTGGTCGGTAGATCAAACAGTGCACAGTGTCATTGATAAAAATGGTTCTGGATTGTGCGAGACAAACCATTCAACTCTATATACGGCAAGGTTGGAGGTGGCATTGAGAGCAGTGGCTAGGGTACTAGTGGACAGAGCACTTCCCAATCTGATGCTCTCATTTGAATTTCTTTTTTCTGGCACAACCGGTAGAGCTTTCTCAGCTGTCATTCGCTAATTGAGTTTAGCGCACAGAGAACATCGATGCCAGTTCCCCGGGGAGAGAGAGAGAGAGAGAGAGAGAGAGGTGGGCATGAGGGTTTTTTGGATTAGGATGACTTCAAGGCCAGTTTTCCACTCCAAGTCTGGTCCTCTGTGGACGGTGTGGCGTGGTGTTGCCCAAATGACATTTTTCGACCCTCCACCCGCTCTTTCGGTTGGTTCCGAAAAAGAGCAGGAAACTAAGCTGATTTTGTAGCTGCTCAGTCTCAGATCTCGAATCCTGAACCGTCACCCATTCCATCCAGAGTGCATGATAGTCTTGCTGCAGTCCACAGCACCTTTGTCAGCAACACATGGTGAAACTGCCCGGCCCAGTTTTGGAAGATTACTACATTCAGTTTGGTTCCTTTTTATATCACATGGCCAATTCTTGCCTTTGGATTTCCTCCTGCAAAAGCCATTTCTTCCAGCATGCATACAAAATCATCAGGTTTACAGGTTTATCAAGAGTTAAACAATGAAAACAGCTTAACTTATAAAAGGCTTAAAGCTGCAATATGTAACTTTTTGGGCAACCCGACCAAATTCACATAGAAATGTGAGTTATAGATATGTCCTTCTCATTGAAAGCAAGTCTAGGAAGTGGTAGATCTGTTCTATGTGCAGTATTTCTATGCTTCCCGTTCTTAAGTTTTGTTTTTGCATCTTTACTTTCGGTTTTGTAAACCAGCTTCACACAGCTGAAAATACAATATTTTTGGTTATTGAAAATATATTTCATTGCGGTTCAGATGGTACAATGATTCGCTACACTATAAATTGCTTTTTGTCACAAACTGAAACTATTAGAATTTTAGCAACCAGGAAATGGCGAAGCGATTTCTGCATATTGCACCTTTAATGTAAATGGCATGACAGTGGCCTTAATGTCTTAGACAGTGTTCGGATTCAATGCCAGTAAACAATTCTACACTAAGTGTATAACTGACTCATCACTTGGACAGATAGCATTCATTTCTACCGATAATAATTGTTGGCTATTGATTGCTTGCGGAAAACAGTGATTCATTTGGCTAGACTAATGGATAATCTACATTGGCTAAACACAGAACAATAATGGTTAAAATATTGACTAAAATGATCACAGTATACACATATCTAATGTATGAGTGCTGTGTACTATGGCTCTGTTCCATCACTTAAAATAAATAAATACATAACCAAGGGAAACGCACAAAACAAGAATAAAATCAATTTAAAACACATGGCTATAACTGAACTAAGACATAATATTCTGTCAATTATTATGACACTCATACACATTTATGGACACTGGTTCTAGAACGATACGAAATATAAACATAAGAACAAAAACGATGAACGATGAGTCCTCTTAATTGTAGACAGTAAAGGTGCTAGACAGAGTCAGACACATGAAGGCTTTACAGAGTAATGGCTGTGATGAGCCACTATGACCCAGCAAGCAGAACACCATTCATTCTTTCCTTTGTTTTTTTTCTGCAACCTCAGCCGTGAGGTTAGCTCACCCTAGAAGCCATGCACACTGCCTGCCGGTTCACTCTTTACTCCCTGTGAAGTGAGGGAGATTGCCCATGTGGGGACCCTCCAGCATATGCACTAAGCCCAACTGTGGACTCAGGCCTCAGCATCCCCACTGAACACTGCAGAAACGTTAGCCTCCTGCCGTCCCTTCCTCCTCACTCCTTCTTCCCGTTCCTGTCCACCACCTTTTTCTTCTCGTCCCCAGTCACAGACTTCCAGTAGCGATGACAGGCCAGCTCCAGCAGTTCCAGCCCTCCTATCAGCTTCTGCTGGCCGAAGTAGATGCCCATCATCACCAAGAAGTACAGACGGAGCGGGGCCCAGAGCCAGAGGCCTGCGAAGGATAAGGCTATGAAGGAGCTCCAGTAGAACAGAGATGCTGCCTTGATCAGAGCCACGCGGAGCTCCGTCTTACAAGGGGGCACGCGGCACACGCCTTCCCTGTCAAAGCCCCGGGGCTCAGCGGCATAGAAGTCCCTCAGGCGGACCTCCTTCTCTGCCCAGCGCTCCTGGGTCCAGGCCTCCAGGGCGGAAGGGGATGTGGGCAGGGCGGAGGCCTCGTAGCGGCGCACATGGAAGTGGATCTCCCGGGGGAACTGCCCCAGGATCAGGTGGCGCTCCGTCTGAGGGATGTTCTTGGGGTAGGCCACAGTGATGTCATGGACGGCATCCAGGTTGTCTCCTGTAAAGGACGGGAGGTATGTATGACTGACGTGCATCTATATTTTAACCGTGGGGTTTGTGCGGATGCTGATGCGGAGGATCCATTCCCTTGAGTCAAATGTAACTAACGAAGTATATTGCATACATTCTTGCCTCCCACACTGAGCCCTACATCATTCCTGTCTCTTACATTACCCTGCAGCCCCACTCCCTCCCATACCACACAATGAGCCAGGGCCTGAGTGAAATATCAGCCTGGGAGGAGGACGCGACACCTGCCAGCCCTGAGCTCCCACCCACTCCCTACTGTACTGTATGAGAGAGTCAGTGGATATAAATAGGCCAGGGGCACAGCACACTCAGACAAAGACCACCTAGATAACATGTCAATCACCAGAGGTGAGGGAACAGGGCTAAGTCTGGTGACATCACTGCGGTTCAGAACACCTGCTTGGTGATTTAGTGCCCAGCTAAGCGCCGCAGGCGGTGGTATTTAAGACTTATGGAATGCTGCCAGGATTAGCTCACAGGGCAATATGAGATGCTGTAATGTGTCACAGTGTTGATGAAGTACTAGTTTTTCTTTAGAAATCTCAGACAGGTAACACTGTTTGATGTGGCTTGTTATAATTCCTTCACACTTTGAGTAATTTGACAAGGCTAACTGTTGTCATAACAAGCAATGACAGATGATGACTACAATACAAACAGCCAATTGGTTTCACTTTACTGCATGTTAGGGCAACCTGGGTCAAAACTGACAGTAAATATAGAAAAAGTTAACCCCTGACCTTTGCGGAGAGTGTCCACGATGAAGGTGAATCCGGTGGTGCGGGGGTGCAGCACATATTCAAACTTAGGCAGGCCGTTCTTTTCCGCAAAGTCATCACTTCTTGCTCTAGTGTAGTCTGCAGGAGAGAGAGAAAAACAGAAAATGAGAAGTAGGCTAAATAGTATTGTCGGCATTTTGGATAATTGACTATCATAAGATGACATTTCACATTAACTTCTTGGATAGGGTTTAAAACACTACTGTAAGCGTGAGAGAACATTGGTCGTATACCAACCCTCATCCATGTCCTTCCTAGATATGAATAGAATATCATTACATGAGCTGATTTCATTAAAAGATATGGGGGAGTGCTACACCTGTAGATCCTTAGATATCCTCTCAGGGACAAAGCTAAGACTTCTTTGATCCAGAGGGAGTCACAGAAAGCACACCCTGATCCAAATCTTACCACCAGCCCTCTAGGAGAGTAGGGGGAGTGTAGGAACCATTACTAAAACTATTAGTAAAATGTCATATCTGGCCCTGGGTCTGTAAGTCGAACTGATTTTAAGAGGATTGTATACACATACCACACATACATCCTCAGGGAGTTATAAAACCGATGTTAACAGGCTTGGGGATGAGAGATGGAAGAGGTTGATGCAGGGTGCTAGTGTTTATGTCCTAGCCAACACATCATTGCCCTGGTTGGCTATGTGACTGTTGTCACTGAAAGCTGTTACCGGTGAGGTCAGTGCCCTCAGGGAAGAGGAGGAGCTGCAGGGGCTCTCTGATGTCACAGAAGTACTCCAGCATGTTCTCCATGTGGCTGCGGTCCTCCTCCCACCGACGCTTGATAAAGATGAAGCAGGCCACCTGCATGGCCCAGCCTGAAGCAAATTAACCAGATGAATGCCATTTAGCAGACTCTTTTATCCAAAGCAATTTACAGTTGTGTGTATGCATCTTTTTCACTGTGTATACCCATGCTGAGGTGTGTGCGCACACACACACACGTATGTGTCTGTGTGTGTTGCCTACACCCACCGAAGCCTGGCACAACTTTGAGGGCGGCCTTGAGGCAGATCTTCTCCAGGCGCAGGTAGCTGTACCTCAGCAGGCAGCACCACAGGAACATCCAGTCCAGACGCGTCCGGTGGTTCATGATGATCACACTGCGCTCCCCTGGGATGAAGCCATCACCCGTGATCACCACCTTAACCCCAAACACCAGCTCCAGCAGGGCCTGCACAGGGGTAGGGAGGGGTCGGGAGGTACGTAGGAACAGGAAGACTCATTTAATTTGGTTCCAAAACACAGATGCCAAGAATAGTACAAAACAAAGTCAGTGAGAGGTCAAAGAATGTCTAGGGCAGACATCAAAGAATGTTAGGTCAAAACCAAAAAGGCGAAACAGTTGACCACAGTGGTCAAACAAAGGTGATAAAAAAGACTGACATAAGTGGGATGCAGACGTAAGGAACACAGACAGATGAGGGGTAAGAGGACTCACCACGGGCAGGGTGAGCCAGGTGGCCACGATACGGTCTGTGATCCAGCGGTACCAGGAGGGTGACAGCAGCATTAGAGGTAGCACAGGGCCCAGCATGAAGATGCTGCCAAAGAAACTGCCCAGAAACAGGGTCACCACAAAGTACAGCCCCCGCACAGACACCGCCATACCTGGGAGAGAGAGAGATGACTTCACATTTATATATTTGGACTCTCCTTATGAGTCAGTGAAGTCACAACTTGTTAGTTCACTACAGTATTAAACTGATCATGAAGGAGATATAGGTAGGATAAACACTTCCAGAGTAGGCTAATCAATTCTCTAGAATTCTCTGTTGATGTGGAACTGCAAGCTTAGGAGTAATGAGGAAGGATTGGATGAATCATGAACCAGCCTAATGTAAGACAAATGGAGTTATCAATGTCCTCATCAATAGCAAACCCTCCTGTTCTGTGGATCTTCCTATATTTCCACACAAACAGTGTAAAAACCAAGGCAGACATTCCTATTGTAGAATGTAAATAAGGGTCGGAGCCAGGAGTTTCTTACTGCTAAAATGCTGTGAGCAGGGAGACTGGATTTTATGCAGCTCGCCGACAACCTTTTCTTAGACCTGAACATTTAACATTTTCACTGAATAGCCTAAATATATTTGCATATAACCCAGCCTATGGCTGTGTCTTTTGTTGGATCATGCTTTCGAGAATGTCATCTGGAGCCCACTCAATACTGGCATCATATGCCTTGGCCTAGATTCAATTTTCTTTTAAAAGCTACTGTTGTATTACAGGTGGTGGTCTTTCTTATAAATCAGTACAACATAACAGACATACTGTAACAAACATGCAGAAATACAAAACCCAGTACTGAGAATGACGGCAAATCTCCAGATGATCATGTCAGATGATATCTAGTCTTGCCCCACAGGGACCCTTTGGGTCTACTAGTGTTGATAGAAATCAGTTGCCTAGTGGAGTGTATCAGATTTAGGTTTTTGGGGCCTCAACAGCACAGTATTGTCAAGCATAAACACATTTAACCTAACAAAAAGGTGTAAACCACAGAGAATGATAAAGACATTATCTTTACACATGTCCCATTATGGCGTCTGAGTGCTATTTCCTCTATATTGACAGTTGAGAAATAATTGTTATACTCACATAAAGCAGAGACAACTTTTTTTTAACAGTTTTAAAAATGGTCTTTCCTGCAATTACATTTTGAAATGTTGCTCACCGTCAGTATGCTTGCAAATTGCATCTCTCCCTTTACCCAGTGTGCAAAAGGGGGGGAGCGAGAGCCAGAAGCGAAACAGGGACAGCGCATACACCTTCATTGCAGGAAACCGGTTAATGCACATTACCTTTGACCAAAGAATGGTTTTAGAACCCCAAAGTCAGCAGGAACGTTGTGTAGCCTAATCACCGATGCAAGCAAAATTGCATTGGTAAGAGGAAGGCAACGTCAGTAATTTTTGGTTTATTGTCCTAATTAAGTGTTTTCCCTATATATTTTTTCAGCAGCTGTGGCAAGCTTAGCATGGGGGCACAGTTTTAGAGGTCGCAGAGAGAAAATGTTGGTTTTGAATTTAATTTCCTGCAATTCTTCATGTTTTGCCACGGGGCGAAGAGAACATTTCACAGTTACGCCCCCATCCACATTGACAGGGAGAAGGTGAAAAGCTTCAAGTTCATCAGCGTACACATCACTGACAATCTGAAATGGTCAACTCACACAGACAGCGTGGTGAAGGCGGCGAAACAGCGCCTCTTCAACCTCAGGAGGCTGAATAAATTCGGCTTGGCCGATAAGACCCTCAAACTTTTACAGATGCACCATTGAGATCATCCTGTAGGGCTGTATCACCGCCTGGTACGGCAACTGCACTGTCCGCAACCGCAGGGCTCTCCAGAGGGTGGTGCGGTCTGCCCAACGCATCACCGGGGGCACACTGCCTGCCCTCCAGGACGTCTACAGCACCCAGTGTCACAGGAAGGCCAAGAAGATCCGATCCTCATTTATTAAGTCAAATGACACCGCTGGTCCTGCTCACACTGCCCTACGCTTTGCCTTCTTTCTCCCCTCTCTCTCCAGATGAGATCTTGCGACTTGTGACGGCCGGCCGCCCAACAACCTGCCAGCTTGACCCTATCCCCTCCTCTCTGCTCCAGACCATTTCCAGAGACCTTCTCCCTTACCTCACCATGCTTATCAACTCATCCTTGACCGCTGGCCATGTCCCTTCCGTCTTCAAGAGAGCGAGAGTTGCACCCCTCCTCAAAAAACCTACACTCGATCCCTCCGATGTCAACAACTACAGACCAGTATCCCTTCTTTTCTCTCCAAAACTCTTGAGCGTGCCGTCTCTAGCCAACTCTCCTGCTGTCTCTCTCAGAATTACCTTCTTGATCCAAACCAGTCAGGTTTCAAGACTGGTCATTCAACTGAGACTGCTCTTCTCTGTGTCACGGAGGCTCTCCGCACTGCTAAAGCTAACTCTCTCTCCTCTGCTCTTATCCTTCTAGACCTATCCGCTGCCTTTGATACTATGAATCATCAGATCCTCCTCTCCACTCTCTCCGAGTTGGGCATCTCTGGCGCTGCTCACTCTTGGATTGCATCCTACCTGACAGCGCGCTCCTACCAGGTGGCGTGGCAAGAATCTGTCTCCGCACCACGTGCTCTCACCACTGGTGTCCCCCAGGGCTCAGTTCTAGGCCCTCTCCTATTCTCTCTATACACCAAGTCACTTGGCTCTGTCATATCCTCACATGGTCACTCTTATCATTGCTACGCAGATGACACACAATTCATTTTCTCCTTTCCCCCTTCTGATAACAAGGTGGAGAATCGCATCTCTGCATGTCTGGCAGACATATCAGTGTGGATGTCGGATTACCACCTCAAGCTGAACCTCAGCAAGACGGAGCTGCTCTTCCTCCCGGGGAAGGACTGCCCGCTCCATGATCTTGCCATCACTGTTGACAACTCCATTGTGTCCTCCTCCCAGAGTGCAAGGAACCTTGGCGTGACCCTGGACAACAAACACCCTGTCGTTCTCCGCTAACATCAAAGCGGTGACCCGATCCTGCAGGTTCATGCTCTACAACATTCGCAGAGTACGACCCTACCATACACAGAAAGCGGCACAGGTCCTAATCCAGGCACTTGTCATCTCCCGTCTGGATTACTGCAACTCGCTGTTGGCTGGGCTCCCTGCCTGTGCCATTAAACCCCTACAACCTATCCAGAACGCTGCAGCCCGTCTGGTGTTCAACCTTCCCAAGTTCTCTCACGTCACCCCGCTCCTCCGCACACTCCACTGGCTTCCAGTTGAGGCTCGCATCTACTACAAGGCCATGGTGCTTTCCTATGGAGCTGTGAGGGGAACGGCACCTCCTTACCTTCAGGCTCTGATCAGACCCTACACCCAAACGAGGGCACTACGTTCATCCACCTCTGGCCTGCTAGCTCCCCTACCTCTACGGAAGCACAGTTCCCGCTCAGCCCAGTCAAAGCTATTCGCTGCTCTGGCACCCCAATGGTGGAACAAGCTCCCCCATGACACCAGGACACCAGAGTCACTGACCACCTTCCGGAGACACTTGAAACCCTACCTCTTTAAGGAATACCTGGAATAGTATAAAGTAATCCTTCGACCCCCCCCGAACATTAAAAAAACAAACAAAAAAAGTGCTTGTCCCACTGGCTATCATAAGTTGAATGCACCAATTTGTAAGTCGCTCTGCATAAGAGCGTCTGCTAAATGATGTAAATGTAAGATCAAAGACCTCAGCCACCTGAGCAACGGCCTGTTCACCCTGCTATCATCAAGAAGGCGAGGTCAGTACAGGTGCATCAAAGCTTGGACCGAGAGACTGTAAAAAAAAAAGCTATCTCGAGGCCATCAGACTGTTAAATAGACACCACTAGCCGCCCCCCCCCGCCCAGTACCCTGCCCTGAACTTTAGTCACTGTCACAAGACGGCTACCACCCGGTTACTCTTACATGTACCTTAGCGGCTGCTGCCCTATGTACATAGTCATGGAACACTGGTCACTTTAAATAATGTTTACATACTATTTTACCCAATTCATATGTACAGCGCATTTGGAAAGTATTTAGACCTATTGACATCATGCTGTGGGGATGTTTTTCAGCGGCAGGGACTGGGAGACTAGTCAGGATCGAGGGAAAGATCAACGGAGCAAAGTACAGAGAGATCATTGATGAAAACCTGCTCAAGAGTGCTCAGGACTGCAGACTGGAGCAAAGGTTCAACTTCCAACAGGACAACGACCCTAAGCACACAGCCAAGACAACGCAGGAGTGGCTTCGGGACAAGTCTCTGAATGTCCTTGAGTGGCCCAGCCAGTGATTGCACTCTATCCAATAGCATGACAATAAGACAGACCTGCCCAGCAGCTCAGACTGTTTACATAAGACAACACGTCATGCATTTTTTTAACTTGAGAAATACTGCGCCAAACACCTTAGTTAGATGTAAAATTAGGTAACTAAAACATCCTCTGCAAAAACGTCAACATTTATTACAGATTTCTTGAGTCATCTTAGTTTCATTCTGGGGATTTTGAGGAAGTGAAATAGGATTTTGCGTCTACAGTGTCTCTTGGGGGACAAACATAATTAACCAAACGAGGAATCGGTCAGGAAACACACCTCCAAGATTGAAATTTCGTTTTTCTAATGAGCACCAAAATAACACAAGCCAATTGGAGTGTTCAGTAGCTCTTTAAAGCTAGTTTCCTGCCATTCTACACAGTCATATGGAGTGACAAACATTTTCACAAAAATCAATGGGGACCCCATGCCATGACATTTTTGGAAGTTTAGATTCTCCCTGACTGTCTAGTTTTTATTTTGGTGATTGTTAGTTCTCAAAGATGATCTTATTAAAAAATTATATTGCTCCATAAAAAGTTGCACATTATTTATTTCTGATTTATAAAAATAAAAAAAATAAAAAAAACATTATATATATATATATATAAAGGGGAAACGTAGTTAGTATTGTCTATCAAATTGTATAGGCTACCTACCCTGCCTTTAAAAATCTGATAAAATGTCAGTCTTAAATTCATTTAATGACCCGCAGACAACCTGTAATAAAATCAGAGAATTTAATTACTGTAAGTCCATAAGATGAGGGTT